TTTTTAATGTTATATTATGATTCATTTAAAAAAGAATTAAAAATAAGATTAAGACTTTTTGTTGTCGGTGTATATATATATATGTATGTGTGTGTGATTATTGAATTGTACTTCTATAATGACCATAGAATACAGTGACAAATTTCATTTTAAGATGGAAAACAAGTACGATCTTTCATTTTGAGCGGGAGATATTAAAATATATGGTAAACTATGTATTTAGTATTTAAATTGTTAATTTTAGTCTATTTTATTATATAAATTTTTAATTTTTTAAAATTATATTTAAATTTTAGCTTTTGTTTTATTTTAGTACCTCACCGTTAAAAATTTAACGCATTAGTACCTAAATTATCAGTTTTTGTTCATTTTAATACATAAATTTTTTAGGGTAAACAGTACATGCGGTTCTTAAATTGTTGAAGGGTTTGGATTTTGGTCACCAAAGTTTACTTAATTGAAGTAATTGAACGTTTAAATAACATTATTTTTAAGATTAGATATCAAGTTGCCTTTCCTCAAATCATGTCTTCCTTATATGTTAGTGAAAATTCTCTTCTTCAATCCATATTTATTTTCAAAAGGGTTTTTTTTTACATTAAATTTTGATGTTCGTTCTTTTACTATTGTTTTACATTGATGTTGTAATGCTTTCATCCTAACAAGGGATGATGCGTTATGTTCAATCCCCAGCTTCTTTTTATCAGAACCTTCAATTCTACCAACATAGTTATTGTCAAAGTCATGCTTTTATATTCAGTTTTAGCAGTAGATCTTGATATTGTGTTCTACTTCTTCGATTTTCAACATACTAACAAATATCTTAATTTAATCTATGATTGACCTTCTTAATCCCAATCAGAATTAGTTATGGTGTGTCATTTGTTGTTAGCAAAATCTCTTCGCCTGATTATTTTCTGAATGTATTTATAATTTATAGTGCAAAATCCCTTCTGAATCATCACCATGTCCTTCAATTTCTTTCTCTTCAACGTGTTCTTCTTACTTTCTTACCTCCATCGTAAGTTTCGAGAGTTGGAAGAGAATCGGAGAATTTAAAATTCTTGCATCATGTATTAAACAAGGATAGGGTTCAAAGTTTTATGAGAAGAGAGAGGGTTCATAAGCATCCAAGAATAATGCATGTTTTTTTAGACAAGATGACATGGACAAAATGACATCGTATTGATTCATGTATTAATGTTAAAAATGATATTATTTAAGACACAGAATTTTAAGGGTATTATGACGTTAGACAATAACATTATTTTGTAAGAAAACAGTACGAACCTCTTCTCCAACGAACTTCCTACAAAGATCAACATTGGAAATGGATAATGGCTCAATATTGTTTCTATAAATCAGATTGCGAGCTCTCAATTCTACGAAAAAACGGTCGACGAAATGGGAAAACCACATGTTTTGGTTATCCCATATCCAGACCAAGGCCATGTCATTCCTCTCATGAAACTCTCCCGAAACTTGGCCAAACAATCCATCAAAATCAGCTTTGTTAACACAGCAGGAAGCAGGTAGTGAAGTTAGCTGAAAGATTATTCCCGGTTATGCCTGAACAGCTGAAGGAGTTGATTCATTGGATTAATGCATCGGATCATGTCTTTTATCTGATATGGGTTTGCAGTCGAATGTTGTGGCAGAGTTGGGGAATCCCATGGCGCCATTTTGGAATATGTCAAAAAATGATTCGTTTTTGTCATGACAAACTTCTTCGCTCGGCGAGAATTTGAGGAGTCGCGTGTTTGACGGAAATTAAAAATATTTGGAAAAGGTTAGAGTCGACATCCACATTTGAGATTAGATAGGTTGAAAATCCAAGAAATCGCCCTTTTAAATAATTTTAATAAAAAATTTAAAAAGACACGAGTGGTCTGCGTTTTAAGAGATTCTGGGTTCGGGAGTCAATTATGCTCGGGAAACAATTAGCACCCCACATTACCCAAAATCGGTACCGTCAATTATATTGTTGTCCTGTTATTAGAAATTTAAGAATTTGAATTATAATCTCTTAATCCTCAAAATATTTAAAAGTTTTTTAGAGAAAAACATTATTATTATTATTATTATTATTTATTTCTATTTAAGTAAGAAAGCAACACTCTAGTTGTGTTTAGAGAATTATTTCTTATGTTTTAATAAGAATATTAGAAAATTATTTGGTTTTCTAAGAAATTAAAAATGTCTCTTATTATTTTTAATTAATGAAGAAAGTAACTCCCTAGTTGTGTTAAGGAAATTATTTATTATATTCTACTTGAAACAATGTTGGCATTTTCTATATTTTAGAAAATTTAAAAATATGATACAATTTGTTTATTTTTTAATTAACGAATAAAGTAACTCCCTAGTTGTGTTTAGGGGATTTTTTATGATTGAAAAAATGTTTAAAAGAATGACATTAAATTTTTGATAAAAAATAATGACTTTAGCAACAACAAAAAAACTAAGAATTAAAAACTTAATTAAATCATTGAGGAAAAAGGAATTGATAATTTTAATGGGACCTAATTTAACTTTAAGTAACAACTTGAAAATGTTTATTTATTTACTAATATTAAAATTGAACGTCCAGTTATTTTAGGAGCGCCCTTTTTAATATTAGAAAACAAACAAATGTTTTTAATTAATATCAATTATGTGTTAAAAATGAGTTTCTAAATTTTTTTTAAAAACTAAACTTAAAGGTTTAATTAAATCTAATAAGTGACTAAAACTAAAGAACCTAAAATCTAAATGCTTTAGCATATAATTAAACAAATTAAAAAATAGGAATTAAAAAACATAATGTATACATACCAGAAATAAACACATTTGAAAACACATGGAACAATTTGGGGACTGAATTGCACTAAAAACAATTTAAAGTACACAAGTTGCAATTTGACGGTGACATAAATAAATGAAATGAAATGTCACATCTCCAAACCAAAAAACAGGTACAATAGGGAATTTATGAGGCAATTTTTCCAAAATTTCTTTCTAAAATAAAAGCACAAATTTTAAAACTCATTCTCACCTAAAAAAACTCTCTCCCAATTCTCTCAGTTGTTCCTCTCTCCTTTCTTCAATGTTCATCTTTATTCATCCTACATTCATACCAAAACTCATCTTATAACCTTGTTTTATCCAATACAAACACTCAAACCACCCCAAAACTTGTTCTTTCAAGATCAAAATCATATTTTTCAAGAACATCATCCTTGTTCATCCCTTTTTCTTCATTTTGATCCAAAATCAACACCAAAATAAAACTCAAACTTGTTTTTTTTAGATCTACAACTTAAAATCCCAAGAATACCTCCACAAATTCTAAAGTGTTCATATATCCTAACACTAAACCCAGTTTCAAGAGAAACCACCCAACTTCAACCTCCTAACTACCCGAAACCACCACCAAACATCCAATGTCCTCCGGTCACCGATATTGGGCCGGCTACCACTCCGCCACCGGCAATATTCACGCACGGCAGTGCTATCCTCAAAATCTCCATTTTATTTGAAATAAATAAAGGACCAAATCAATAAATAGAGCTAACCATCGGTGCAAGCCTTCAAGCAATCCCGAACTTCCGATGATATTCCGGCGAGAGTCCGACAAGGGTATACTTCTTACCTTTCACTTGTTTTTCCTCATTTGCCTGAGTGTAGTTGATGCTTTGTTAATTCTCCCTTATTATAGTGTGATTAGTGTTCATTTATACTAATAAATGACATTGGTTTGTTATTAATCCCGCTCAAAGTTTGTTACAATTGTTTCTTCCAACAAATGTCGTTTTTTAGATGCTAGAAACTCCCTTCTCGCTTTAACAATTTTTATGATTTTTTCGGTGCAAAATAACAACAATGGGAGCATGGAGGATGGCGAGGTAGTTCTTGTCGTGCTGGCAACGTTCCGATGATGACATCTTTCCGATGATGACGTAGCACTCCCGTAGCCCTTGGATGAAGTCTTCATGAATGGTTCTAATTTATTTGTGTTTCTTTCACTTGGATGAATGTCGTGACATTTCTAGAAACTTGTACCATCATAAATGTAATGAGCCTCACTATTTAATGCATTATTCTCATTCAAGTCAAAAGTCAAAATTTTCCCTCTCATTTTACATCAAAAAAATTAGGGTTTTCATAATTTTTTGCACAAAGTAGGCTTAAAATTTAAGCCTTTAAATTTTTGTAAATGGGCAACATATGTAATGTAATGCAGTTTTTTATTTACAAAATTGGATCTATCATTCTATAAAATGAAAATGGACTAGCATAGTAAACTTTATTATATTAGTATATTATATTCTACCATGCAAAATATATTGTAATTAATATGGATATTACATGCATATCAAAACATATTAACTAATATGTACATCAATATTATATAATACGAAAACCTTATATTAATATGTAGTTAATGAAACAACTATACATTTAACACAAAAATTATATATCACTATTATATTCACAAAAATTATATACTAAAATTAAAATTATATTTATTCTACGAAAAGTATATTAATATTATATAAGCAGTTGGTTAAATTATATTTAATATTAAAACTATTTTAAAAAAAAAATTATATATTATATGTAAATTTTATAAAATCATAAAGTCCATTAAAAATATTACCAATATCCGGATAATATGGGTGATGATAGTTTTATTATATGATAATTTAATAAACAAAATATTTTATAAGCAGTTGGTTAAATCATGTCGGTGACTAATGTTGGACGTTAAAAATTAAGAATCAAAATGATCCCAATATCAATGTTGAAATTTATAATGTACAAACAAAGAAAATGAATGGTTATTCAACGAAATCTCAACACAAATTTCTTTTATTCAACACCAGAAACCAATTAATATAGCATTGTTACTACACGCAATGGATTTTCCCTTCTCTGGGAAATGTTTAAAGATTGTTTGGAAGGATAGAAAATCCGCCATTGAATGAGCAGATAGGCAGAATATTCTTTTAAAGCAAAACTCATGGATATCTGCAGCAACGGAAACAGGAAAACCAGCTTTGATTTCTACCATTTTGTGGAGTTTTTGGTTTCATTTCTTCAATGCATTGCTCCGGCTCCGGCTCTTTCTCTTGCTGCTGCTTTACTAGATACAATTGTATCTTTAATTGTTGGTTGTATTGATGGATATTTACCGAGCTCAGCCTTTCATCTTCGGTTCCATTCAACCTGAAACGATTTCACTGATATATTCATGCAACTTATAAGCAAAAAAATGCAAGCTTTCGAGTGGAGAAAATGGTGGCTTTTTTTTTTCGTACACAGGGAATGCAAAGGAAAAAGTGCTCTCATCAGAAAGACCAGAGATGCTGTCGTCATTGCCATCTTTGTTGTGACCATCATCATCCTCTGCAACTTCACTTGTTCCGACCACCGTCTTCGGCGTTTCTTCGGCTCCAGAACAACCCTTTCCTGCATTTTCCTCCGCAGCCGCCATCTCTTCTAGCTCTTTCAGTGAAGGCATCGCGCCACCTTGGGCAATGATCTGCTCGTCCAACTTGGTTAACTCTCCGGATTTATACAACGAAAGAAATTGCTCCTTGGAGAGGCTGTTATTCCCAACATGAATGCTGAACAATGATTCGTTTGAAGCAATGCTCCATTCCGTTGGTGTTCCAGGTTGAGTACTGAAAATGGACGACGGTATCCGACTCCGTACGCACCCTGCCGGTGCTTGTTCCGAGGACTGCTCATTTGAACTAGTCGGCGGAACATTTAAGGGCGTCGATGACTCGATGAGTTCGGAATTTTTGAGGTTTCCGTTCCGAGGAGAAGATGAAAAGCTTGCATTCCTTGAAAGAGATTTAACTTCAACTCTATGATCAGTTCCCATTTTCTGCATTACAAAATGAAAACAACAAACATCACATAATTATGACAGAACACATATTTTTCCGATATTAAATGAATCAAACGCCAATATAAACTCACTCAAAACTCAAAGATTTATGATGAGAAGCTAATGAAGATGCGAGAATAAAGACGAAAACTATGAATGAAGGGGCTGTTAAAAACCTAAAAACGGAAGGCAAAGAGAAGATTTCGAGTTAGGTTCTTCGGTTTTCACTTTAAACCAAAACAATAGGGTTCATACTTTGGAAAGTTGTTAGTCCATCTTATTAACAACATTCAGTTCAATGAGAATTTTGAGCCAGAATGATCTAGTTTGATAGTAGTTGATTTTGGGAGAATTTTGATATTTTAGGGGTTCTTAGAGGCAGGTTCGAGCACCGGCGACTATAAGGGTGATTGAGCTTTCATTGTTAAACGATCGAGAGCATTTAAAACAGATACTAATATGTAATCACCTTAGCTTAGTAAAAAAAAAATGAGTCGTTCGGTCTAAATATATTTTAATTATTATAATGATTGATTTTGGTTATAGTTATTTTATTAGATGTATTATCTGGTGGATGTATTTGTTGTAACTTTTTAAAAGAAGACTATGAAAGGGGAAAATAATGCATTAAAAGAAAAAGATTACATCCCATATATAGCATTTATTTTGACATGAACACACTATTTCAGACAAATTCATCAGGTTCAAGAATCTATCTGGTTTTTTTAAAACAGCAACCGTGAGTTGTTCAGTTCTGAGAAAGACCAACATCTTGAGCAGGCAATTCATGAATCTGCAACATCGAATAACACAATAAATAACTTGAAAAAAAGAATAAAACTACTCATGTCATATACACTTCACCTATCAAAATTATAAACATGTTGATTATTGAATTCACAAGCAATAAATCTCTGGTGTACGAAATGGTTGAAAATGGTCGCTCAGGAACAGAGTATCATTACCTTGGTTTGATTTATACTAGGTGGTAATAGTGAACCTCCAGCTTTCCTGTTTCTTGCAAGAATACCTTTAGTAACAGGCGACATAATGGAATCAGTCGGACTTCTGTACCTGAATCAAACCAGTAAAAGAAACAAAGAATTCACACATAGAAATTCATAAAACAGATGATGATTTTAAACCATATATATATATATATTGAGATACATACCTTTCAGGATAATTGAAGGCTTTGGAGAGTTTGAGCCTATCTGGGGTGCATGTTTTCCGCGGGTCTTTGCCCGAGTCTTGAGGATTCTCGTCGCGTTTCTGGTCCTGGAGCGGTGGGGTATTCTCTAATCCACCACTTTCAGTCAGAGTCGAACTGTTAAAAGGCTTTTCGATCACTTGCTCGACCATTTTAAAGCATTTATTTTGCAAATCTTTGGCTGAATCCTGAGCATTCTCATCGAGTTGAAGTGTTAAAAAGGCTTTTCCATCGCTTGTTCCGCCATTGAAACGAGATCAATACAAAGACGTGAATTTAAGTGGGGTTGAAGAAATGGGTTGATTGAATTGAAAGCTTTGAATTAAAGAGTGAATTTATGTTATAAATAAAATGGAAAGTCGGGAGTGATTGCAATCGGTCTAATTTTTAAATTATATTATCTAAATTCAAAATGTAAATAAAATAAAAGGTAAGTTAGAAATTTCATCACTAACTTCCTTCTTACTCTTGTTTTATTCACTAAAGTTTAACCATTTTCAATTTACTCACTAAACTTTCGATTTATTCTTATTTTGGTCACTCCAGCATGAAATATGAGTGGATATTTTTCTTTTAAAAATATGAAATGATCTCTTAATTTTTTTAATGAAAAAACTTTTAGTTTCGAATTTCCTTTGATTTCTCGATGATGAATCATATTCTTCTAAATCTCAATGACAAAGAGGTGAAGGAGGAAGAAGCAAGTTGTATATCTTGATTTTACGGTAATTGGATGGTGGGTATTATAGATCAAAGTAGTTTAAGATTTCACAAGTTTTGTGTTTATAGTTGAATTTCATGAGTTTTAAAATGATTTAGATAAAATATAAATTGACAATAGTAAAAAAATAAAACAAGTGCATTAATATCTTAAGTAATCGAAGACCACACCAAAAAATGATAATTACAGTGTCAATATAACATAAGGATGAAACTATAAAAATTATCTTTAGAAGATTAAATAAATAAAAATAACAAACACAAGAATTTCATTAAAAAAAAAAAAATCCACACTAACAACGTGGCTTGCATATCACCCTCCTAAATGATTTAACACTTGAAATACCAAAATAGAAGCAAATAAAAAAATCAATGAGTAAATTGATTTTTTTAACTTTAGTGAGAATAAAATTGGATGATGAAATTTATAATTTATCCTAAAATAAAATACACTTTTTAGAAGGAAAAAACTAACACTGAAAATATAATATCATCCTTTTCAATAATGTTCAGACTCATTATATCAACCAATCATTAATAAAAAAATCTAATATATTAATAGTTGAATCAATTTAAAATGAATCCGTACACCGATAGTGCAAATGAGGGGTTGAGATTATGAAAAAGGCAAACCAACTGATCATATGGCTTTGACATTTGATCAAGTTACTATTACTTTTTGACACCAAAATGAATGAAAGCTTTCATTACAATAAAAAAACAAGTTCAAAGCTTTGATGGACAGATTCTCCCATTTCATCAAGACACTAAAGGAACAAATAGACTACATTTATGGCAAACTACAACCAATATACAACACAAATTCTATCAGATTTTCAACTTCTAAATGCAGCAACACAATCTCAATGCCATAGTTTGGAGTTACTTTACCTTGTTTGCACTCGATAAGTAGTCGTCGAGTATCGATAACAAAGGAATCAAAGCAAAACATGTGCTTGTTACCGACTTGATAGAAGCCTTCGGACGGAGGACTCACAAAGCCCAGAATGGTTTTCGAACTCCATTTGCATTGGAGTTACTATTTAGGGACTCTTCACTGCTTTCCTCGGAATCATCATCTTCGTCCCCATATGTCATTAACTGCATCAGCGTGTCTGAAACAATTTTGGTACGTATTATAAATTGCCCAATGCAAGAAACCATTTACTAGATATTAGTCAACATCACAGAACTATTCGTTACAGGAAAGTAAATTTAGATCGATAAATATTTAAAATAGCCAGTTTAGGAATCAACCCTACCAGGGACAGCATCAAGTTTAGCTTTATTGTTATCTTTGGTCTTGTCATGCAATTTCCCAGGTGGTTTCGATGACGTGAACTTGGGTGGAGGTGGCGGAGGCATCACGGCTTTTGGAGGTGGTGGTGGCATTCCATTGGCTGATGGATTAATCAGCTTCTTTGGAGCAGGCATAGTTGATACATTTCTCACTCTTAAGTCTCCCAATGGCTTGTTTGGATTTGAAGATTCATATACCTGCAATGAGTTGCACAGAAACAATCCAAGCCTAATTTCTCAATAGAAGTAATATAATAGTTAATGAGAAATATCTGGAAAAAGAAGAAGGTTAGGATCTCAAGGGTACAACAGAATCTTTACAAAGGTCCTGTATCAGGGGGAAAATGACATGGCATTAGTGAAAGACCAAGATTTAGTTAGTTAATTTGACCCTTGATGTCTTCACTGAACAGATATAAGAACGCTATACGCCAACATTGTGCCTGGAAATTCTCAAATCAAGAACTAAGGTAGTTTGTGGCGAGATGCAAAAATAAAAGGTGTCAGATGTCAGATGTCATGTACAGTGTCACTGTGGACAAATAATGGTTGCAGTGGCACAAAGTTTGTTGTCAGCTTATGTACTTAATAAAATGTATTTCATGCATTTTCAATAGGAGCTTCCGATTTAATGTTAAATCCTAAACAAAAATGCTACACCATAATGACACCAAAGAGCCTTTAAATGAAACTTCAGCTTGCACATTCTATAACGCTAACCATGTGAAGACACGACGACATAAATGCAAACTGCATGATATGAAGCTATACACCCAATCGAAGAGTAAAAAACTCTTGAAGTGGTCCCTGATCATGGTTTTGAAGCAGGAAAAACTCATCAAATTTCTCCTCTGGAACTGAAAACCCTGTGAAACATACAAACCAATGGCCCTAACAGAGGTCCGGTATCAGCCTATTAGCTTCCTAGAATGTCAGAGAAAATACCTGGAATGATAAGCAGAGAAAGTCAGTAGAAAATATAATCATAAATCCAATAGCATAAATGCAAAGTACTACATTTAATCCCATTCACTTGCAAAGGTCTCCCATCTCTCTATAATGTTTATTCCCATATTCAAGGGTGAAACTGCAACTGAAGCAGGTGAATGCATAAACATAAGGGGAAAAGTAGCAATGTAGCATGAATCAGTACATGTAGCAATCATGACATCATGTATGGCCACATATGCAGACAAACCTGATTGACTTGAGAACTACATATGCAAAGGGTTGCAAAATGGAACCATTGTCCTTAACATTACCCACCAATTACATGGAAATGCCTCCGCTCACAAATATACTTCTACTCTAAATAGAAAGCTTCGAGCCATGGACTAATAAAAAAATATTACTTTAAATGAATAATGAATTATAAAGTTAATTAATCTAAGATAAAATTTGCTCAAACTTCAAAAATGTGTCAAAGCCAATTCAAGGATACGTATCAGAATTCTAAATTTCTAATTGCATTAACAACATTTATTAAGTAGAGTAGACCATCTGGCATGAGCCAGACCACTTTCAATCACAAATGGTCCTAAATTATTAGTAGTCAACTCAACACTAAACAAAAGCCATTTTCCAAGTAGAGAAGCCCAAATTCTAGATCCCTACCCCCTACCCAAAACAAAAATTCAGTACAAGAACTGCGAGTGGTAATGCTCTTTGCCCTAGGATTTCTAAATGAATATAGTACTTACAGCAGACTGCCATGAACCAGAACTTGTACACTATTTGAACCAAGAAACCAGAATTGAGTAAGACTTTATCTTTGGCCATTATGGCACTCAAATAATATTAATTTGTAATACGTCATAGCTTCGCTTTAAGGGAAACTAACAGAAAATGTACTGGTACCTGGTTGAGTCTTGAAGAGCCCTTTGAACCAGCTGGTAACTCCTGGAACTTCCGCTTTTGTGGAGGCCGTCGCTCTTTCTCTATGTGTAAAGTAGAACTAACACTTGATTTGGTTACCGTACTGACAGATGACATTATAGGAACAGCCGTGCTTGCTACAGACGTTGCAGGTACAACAGTAGATGAGATTGGAGATGGTTGTCTAAGAGCTAATGCTACCTGTTGCAATGGTGTTGCTTGGGGGTATATACCACCATATCCAATGTAGCTTGTCCCTCTAGTCACCAAAGGCTGTGGATAACCAACTGAATTTGCTTGGATTGGCCCAGAATTAGGCAGCCCCACAGCAATCCCTTGAGAATAACCAGTAGTGACTCCAGGGACTGAAACAGGTGAAGCTGGAGCAGGAACTGGAATTGACGTCAAACCAGCAGCTGAACTAGCATTTAGGTTTTGTTCGGTTGTAGAACTTTGAACTCCAGTCAACAACTGCTGTGGAGGTGGAACTGCACCATAAACCTTACTTGAAGAAATCCTAAAATAGATGGAAAGAAACAGGTTACTCCATTTCAAAATGACAACAAGAAGACTATAAAATTACAATCACCACCCCTCAGCAAAACAGAAACCTGATTACCTGGATGCACCAAGCTCTAGGCTGATAGTGTCCATGAGATTCTCTGCCAAACACTTGGCATCATCAAGACTTTTAGGATTGTTACTGGACAAGAATAAGTGCAGTGGTTGCTGTGTTTCTGCAATCACAAGAAGACCAGATAAAACTATAATATTAGGAAAATAAAATCATAGAGTAACAGCATAAATCCTTAGATTTGCCTATAATTATAAAGAAATAAGAAAAGAAAAGGGAGCTGTATTTTACACAGCATAAAAGTACCTTCACCCTTCAGGCTCTCAGAGTTTCCAGAACCACATCCTCGTAGCGTGACAGTTGCTCCTGTTTCATTCATAATGTGATTTATATACTGGTCCTGCAAGTACAAAACCGAACCACCAGCAACACAAAAGCATGCTCCCCCAATTGCATGGAGATGTGAGAGAGAGCTTCAAACGTTAGAATCTCTCATCTTTAATGAACGAAATAAAAAAAAAACTTTAAACAAACTGATTAAACAGAATACTCAAACAAGTAAATCAGTACAAGACACAAATAACAGATGTGTGCACATTAGTAAGAGGATTTGCAGTGAAAGGTTTGTTTCGGGAAGGTGAATTAGACCACACCCTTAACATCAGATAGCTGATTTTCATTTAACTATACAAAGATTGTATCACCATCTAATTATACTATCTAGTAGTA